ACGAGCCACTGCAGGGTTTCCTCCATCTCGGGACTGCCAACCACATTCACTGGTGCTGGATCCCACTTCTGACACCACGTGTGGCAAGGTCCTTGCCTAGTCCCCTTGCCTTGGGGCCACAAATCACCAGGAGACCCTCTCTTGTGCAATCACCCGTGTCTTTTTATAGCTTGTGGAGCATCCTACCACCTTCTATTAACAGAGCTTGGTTTTCCCACCAGCTAACTCAGCTACCTCTCCTTCTGGCTGCGGCGTACACACTCAGCCGCTCTCTGGCTCCTCTCCCTTCACTTCCCCTCTGGCTGCCTTATCTACCCCTCTAGCTAACAAGGCCCACAGCCGCTTCCATTAGCCCGTCAGGCCTGGGCTTGCTAAGCTGGCTGCATTTGGCCTTTTCAGCCAGCATGGAGTGGCAGAACTCTGGCTTAGCCAGCCGTCTGTCAGAGGAGTTATTGTCATTAGCCACTGTGGGCAGACAGGACACTGGGCTAGATGGACCTTTGATCTAATCCAGTCTGTCCACTCTTATGTATTTATGTCACCCTCCCACATGGAATTACAGCCATTAACCTGGCTCTCAGTGGCGCATTAACTTACTACTGGCAGCTCTCCCCAAGTTATTTCAGAAAACCGTGATCTCGATCATAGATATCATTTAAAAAAATCTAAAGTACTTCTAATGATAACGGCATGAGTGCCCATTCCCAGTTCACTATATGAGCTCAGCTATGGAAAGAAGTTGCTCACCTTCATGCAGTAACGATAGTTCTTCCAGTTGGGTCGCTACGGGTGCTCCACTCATGGTGTCGGGCTAACCCTGGAGCTGCGGTGCTGGGATGAGCTCAACACCATGAGTGGTGCATCCACAGGGACCACTCGAAAAAGAACTCTAAATTCTTCTGTGCCTCTTTATTGGCTAGCTAGTGAACATTAATACTATGACTTGAGTATATTTTCCGTAAAGCCATTTTCATGTCTTTATTTTTCAGGCTGTAGATGATGGGGTTTAAAAAGGGAGTTAAGATGCTGTACTGGACAGAGAAGAGTTTATTTAGAACCACAGAGGATGCCGCGCTGGGTTTCATATACTGGCCGAGAGCCGTCAGGTACAACAAACCCACCACGGTGAGGTGGGAGCTGCAGGTGGAGAAGGCTTTCCGCCTGCCTTCTGCGGAGCGTATCCTCAGGATGGTGGAGATAATACAAATGTAGGAGACCAAAATGGGGACAAAGGAGCTCAAGGCAAATATCACCACGGACGTGAGAAGAACCAGCTCGTTGGTGACGGTCTCGGTGCAGGAGAGCGCTAGCAGTGAAGGGAGCTCGCAGCTGAAATGATTGACTTCATTCGGGCCACAAAAATGTACATTTAATAGAAAAAGAGTGTTGACGAGTCCCAACAAAAAACTCATTGTCCATGCACTGGCCACCAATTGACTGCAGACCCGCCAGTTCATAATGTTCATGTAGTGCAGTGGGTCACATATGGCAGCGAGCCGGTCAGAGGCCATCGCTGAAAGCATGAATCCTTCAGTACACCCCGACAGGATAATAAGAAAAATCTGTGCAAAGCAGCCGTGGAAAGAAATTGTTTGCCGCCTTGATAGGAAGTTCTCCAGCATCTTGGGCAGGATGACAGAAGAATAGAAGACATCCAGGAAGGATAGATAGAAGAGGAAGAAATACATAGGTGTGTTAAGTTGAGAATTGGTCCTTATGGCCACCATGATCATCATATTCCCCACTAGAGTAAATAAGTAAATTACCAAAAATAACAGGAAGAGGAAAATCTTGAGCTGTGGGTCATTGGATAGTCCCAAGAGAATAAACTCGGTCACGTTGTTTTGATGTTCCATTGGCTGAACTCGATCACATTGTTTTGATGTTCCATTGGCAGAATTCGGTCACATTGTTTGGGTGTTCCATTGGCTGTCGCACATGAAGGGTTGAGCTGTGAGAAGGGGAGAAGTAAAATGAAATTGACCAACATCCTCAGAGAGGTGGGACAGCTACAGAATGGGACAACATGCATATCATAAGAACATAAGAACCTAAGAACGGCCACACTGGGTCAGACCAAAGGTCCATCTAGTCCACTATCATGTCTGCCAAAAGTGGCCAGCACCAGATGCCCCAGAGGAAGAGAACACAACAGGTAACCCTCATGTGATCCCTACCCTGTTGCCCACCTCCAGAGAAACAGACGCTAGGACACCATTCCTACCCATCCTGGCTAATAGCCACTGATGGACCTAATCTATCCAGTTCTTTTTTGAAATCTGTTAAAGGCCCAGTCTTCACCACATCATCTGGCAAGGAGTTCCACAGGTTGACTGTGCACTGAGTGAAGAAAAACTTCCTGTTGTTTGTTTTAAAATTTCTGCCTATTCATTTCATTTGGGCTGTGTCCAGACTCAGGGGTTTTTTCGGAAAAAGTAGCCTTTTTCCGAAAAAACTTCACCTGCGTCTAGACTGCAGCCGTGTTCTTTCGAAATTAAATCGAAAGAACGCGGCTTTTCTTTCGACGGTGGTAAACCTCATTTTACGAGGAAGAACGCCTTTTTTCGAAAGTGCTCTTTCGAAAAAAGGCATTCTTGAATGCAAACAGGGGTTTTTCAAAAGAGAGCATCCAGACTGCCTTTCGAAAAAGCGGCTTGCTTTTTCAAAGTTCCGCTTGCAGTCTAGACGCTCTTTTTCGAAAGAGGCTTTTTTGAAAGTATCTTTCGAAAAAGCCTCTTTCGAAAGAGGCTTGCAGTCTAGACATAGCCCCGGTGACCCTTGGTTCTTATATTGTGGGAATAAGTAAATAACTTTTCCTTATTCACTTTTTCCATATCTGTCATGATTTTATAGACCTCTATTATAATATCCCCCCTTACTTTCCTCTTTTCTAAGCTGAAAAGTCCCACTCTTTTTAATCTCTCTTCATATGGGACCTGTTTCAAACCCCTAATGATTTTTGTTTCCCTTTTCTGAACTTTTTCCCATGCCAAGAGATCTTTTTTGAGATGAGGCGACCACATCTGTACTCAGTATTCAGGCTGTGGGTGTAACATGGTTTTATAGAGAGGCAATAAGATATTCTCTGTCTTATTCTCTATCCCTTTTTTAATGATTCCTAACAGTCTATTTACTTTTTTGCCTGCCGCTGCACACTGAGTGGATGTTTTCAGAGAACTCTAGACAATGACTCCATGATCTCTCTCTTGAGTAGTTGTGGCTAAATTAGTCCCCATCATATTGTACGTATGGTTGGGGTTATTTTTTCCAATGTGCATTACTTTACATTTATCCACAGTAAAATTCACTTGCCATTTTGTTGCCCAACCACTTTGTCTCATTAGAGAGATTTATGAAGCTCTTCACAGTCTGCTCTGGCAATTGAGTTGGAGGCAATTGAGTGTCTGTGCCACTGTTGTTTTCTTCCTTAGCACCCCCTTCCTCTTTATTACAGCCTCCTTTCATTGGACTTCATGCACCGAAACCCACCATACCCAACTGACCAGGAATCAGAGACATACACAATATTAACAGGAAACAATGCAGACATTTTCCTGATTTGTCATGTATGAGAAGCCCAGCTAAGGGCTACGATGTAAGAAATGAATATAAGGTTGTAAACCATTGGGCTTGTGTAGTTTGGGAAAGAGAAGACAAAGGAGGGACATAATAGAGGTTTTCAGGTATCTAAAAGGGTGTCATAGGGAGGAGGGAGGGAAATTGTTCTCCTTGGCCTCTGATGATAGGACAAGAAGCAATGGGCTTAAACTCCATCAAGGTTGAACATTAGAAAAAACTTCCAACTTGTCAGGGGACTTGAACACTGGAATAAGTTGCCTAGGGAGGTTTTGGACTCTCCATCACTGTAGATATTTAAGAGCAGGTTGGAAAGACACTGTCAGGGATGATCTAGATGGTGCTGGGTCCTGCTGTGAGGGCAGGGGACTGGACTCGATGACCTCTCGAGGTCCCTTCCTGTTCTAGTGTTCTATGAAACCACAAACCGGTGACTAAATACCACTCGTCAACGACAGAGTCAGGAACCCACCCACCTGTCCTTGACTCCCATAACTCCTTAATGAAATGCCTTTGAACAAGGGAAACTGCTCAGCTGATTAAAAAAGTCTCAAACTCACCTGGGCTCCCTATGAGGATTGATGCCAATGGGAAGTTTCACCCAGACCCGTAAACGCATCCTCTGTCTTCCAAATCCGAAAGGAGACCGAATGAGTATGAGGCTTCCTTTCTCACGGTGAACGAGACACAATTTATACCAGAATAATGGCTCAGGTGAACAGATGAAGTGATGTCCAGGTTCCTTGGGGTGTAGCTCCCTCAAGTGTCTCATGCGTCATATGTATTTTCACTCAGTAACTAATCACACCTTTTAATCTCCTCTGGTTTTTGGCTTGAATTAAAATTCTAGGAAAGACACAATTGGATTTTACTTACATGAAAGTATCACTGCTCAGATCCTCAGAGGGAGAAACCCAGTGTAGCCCCATCAACTTTGTTCTACACATGGCAGTCAGCTCCCACGTTAGTCTTTTCCGTCTACCTCCCATTTCCTAGGTAGTGTTACCCTCTCTTCACCACACCGTGCTCCTTATATTGCAGTGGATGGGGGTGTCTCGTTTTTGGGGGGATTAAGGGCTGCCCCTTAATGTATCATTTTCCCAAGGTCCACTTGGATGAGGCTTGCCCCTTGTTATCACCTGGATGCCAGGCAGATGCTGTTGCACATTCTTCCCAGCAGACTCGGCAAGTAGGAAAAAGGCGACATTGGTTGCTAATGTTTGCAGAAATGACCTTATCTCTCTCCTAACCTGTCCCATGAATGTCCCTGACTCTGTTCATCTGCCACTAACCTTAACTCCTGGCCTTAAAAAAGTCGCTCTGGGAAGCAAAGGATGTGAACAGTTTAATGGTGCACATGTGTGAACAGGGCATTCCACACATATGTGACCCCCATCCAGTCAACCCCCGCTTTGTGTCTGTCATTACAATACAGGTGGCTGCTGACTTGCAACGTGATTGGTTCCCGGGGAAGCATCACAAGTCGGGGGTGTTGTAACTCCAACTGTCATTTACAATAGGCATCATGAGCTGTCGTAAATGCGGGCCGAGGACGTAAGTCAGGGGTTTTCAGTCCTTTCGGCACTTACAAAAATCGTTGTACGTGTGGGGGGTCACAACTCGGGCAGTCGCATCTCGGGGGTTTCCTGTAGTCATTTCCAATGCATAGAAAATTGTGGGACATGGTAAAGTGAAAAAACAAACAAACGGACTGTTGGTCTCTGCCAAGGAGTCTATATTTTATAATTAAATACATAGCACTTGAAAAGAGCTATAAACGGAACACTTTTAAATGTTTATTACGCTAGAACGTGGCTACTGAAAATGTTGCAGTATTCATTGTAAGTATTTGATATCATATTATTTAAAGCCATGCATCTTTAAAGAAAGAATACCCCTGGTTTTTGGTATTCTTTCTTCCGTAACATTTCAACATATATATAAAAGGTATTTGTGAGTAACTGGTGGGTGGCTTGGTGGCATACATCTGAAGAAAGTGCACCTGACCTCAATATCGGTGCACAAGACAGAACTCACTCCGCTCATGGGTGGAAAACCTTAGAGGGAACATTGCTGCTGTTCTAATGCAACCTGCCAGCATGGACCTCTGTGCTTGTTCAAAAAGCAATGGAAGTGAAAAGCCACCTCCCATAGGGCTACGTCTAGACTGCAGGCTTCTTTTGGAAGAAGCTTTTTCAAAAGAGATCTTCCAAAAAAAACTCTTCTGAAAGCGAGCATCCACACTGAAAGTGCATCAAAAAAGCAATCTGCTATTTTGACAAATAGCATCCACACTGACTAGACACTATCTCGCATGTAAGCTGGGATTACTATGGGTGGAACGGCCACCAGGGCACCTGTCCTTTTTCCTCTTTCCTCTTCTCGTGAAAGAACTGCCTCTTTCCTGTCCATACGTGCCTTCTTCTGAAAGAGCTTGTGTGCAAAAAGGCTTCTTCCTCATATAAAGAGGATTACCAATGCTGGAAAAAACCCTCTGTTCTTTCAATTTTCTTTCCAGAGAACACGATTACAGTGTGAACTTTACTCAGGTTTTGTCGGAAAAATGGTTGTTTTTCCGACAAAACTCTGTAGTGAAGAGACACTTCCTGAGTAGTTGTATGACCCAGTCAGATGAGGAAGGAAAGCTCTCTGAGGGTGTGTCTAGACTACATGCCTCTGGCGACAGAGACGTGTAGATTAGGCTACCCGGCAGAGGAAAATGAAATCAGCTGTTTGTCAGCTCAGTGCGCTAGTCTGGATGCTCCACAGTCGACATCAAAGGCATTTGTTGACCTGCCTGGTATGCCTCATGGGATGAGATTTACCGGGGAGATCGACAAATGCCTTTGATGTTGACCGCAGAGCATCCAGACTAGTGCGCTGAGCCAACAAACAGCTGATCTGCACAGCACGGCAGCCATTTAAATTTAAATGAAGCGGGGACTATTTAAATAGCCATTTCATTTTCCTCTGCCGGGTAGCCTAATCTACATGTCTCTGTTGCCAGAGGCATGTAGTCTAGACACACCCTCAGAGACTGACTTAGGGAGACCTTCATAAGTGCCAGAGAATAATATTGAAATCTAGGCCAGAGAGCACTCTGGGAAAATGCATTCGACAGATAAAATACTCAACTCAAAGCAAGATGAAACCTCAAATGTGCACTGGGCTGACAGAACAGCAAAAAGCGAAGCCCAAATGGACTTTCTGCAGACCTAAAGGGTTTACAACAAGTGAAAGTTTTACAAAAGGCAAAATAGTAGTTAATAAAATAAGCATCCTCAGGAAAAATTCAGAAAATTGTAATGTTTCCCTCTTTTCCATTGTTTCAACTAACTTTCCTTTTCATTCCCTAATTTCTCTAGCTGTGGGAACAGATGCTCTTCTCCAGAGTTTTTCTGAAGGCTCCTTTCACCTCTTTGTTCCTCAGCGTGTATATTATGGGGTTCAAAATGGGTGTCACAACAGTGTACATGAGGGAAATCCAGTGATCACTCTGGTGTGTAGCTGGATATGGGTTTTAGGTAAGTTGAAAGGCCTGTTCCGTAGAACAAAGTCACCACCGTGAGGTGGGAAGAACAGGTGGAGAAGGCTTTACGCCTCCCCTCTGCTGACGGCAGCTTGACGATGGTGGAAATGATGAGGATGTAGGACAGGAGTATCAGTATGAAGGGGCCCATGATGAACAGCGCTGCCACAGTCAAGCCCATGAGTTCATTTTTCGATATGTCAACGCACACCATCATCTCTACTGGCCGGATGTCGCAGAAGAAGTGGTGGATGCGGTGGGATCCGCAGAAGGGCAGGCTGAAGAGCCACAGTGTCTCAGCTCCTTCCGCCAAGAGACCGATGGTCCATGACGCCCCCGTGAGCTGTACACACACCCGGCCGCTCATGATGGTCGTGTAGTGCAAGGGGTGGCAAATGGCCACGTAGCGGTCGTAGGCCATGGCTGCGAGGAGGCAACATTCTGTGAGAGCCAGGGTGGTGAAGACAAACATCTGGACCATACAGCCCGCAAGGGAGATGGTCTTTTGCTCCACCAGGAGGTGAACCAGCAGCTGAGGAACCACATTGGTGGTGTAGCAGATTTCCAAGAGAGACAGGTTCACCAGGAAGAAATACATGGGGGTGTGGAGAGAGGAGTTCAGCTTTATCAGGAGGATAATAAGCATGTTCCCCACCAGGGCAACTGGATAGGTGACCAGAAGCATCAGAAATAGAACAATCTGCAGCTCGTTAAGATAGGAAAAGCCCACCAGGATGAACCCATCGGCGATGGTCTGGTTCTCGCCAGGATCACTCACAGAATAGGTCATCTGCAGGGGTGAGAAAGGAAGAGACGCTGGAGCTGAATCTGTGGAACACCAAACACGTGACCCTGAATTGAACAAGTCAGGCTGAGTCACCATCCCTTGGGACCCTCCGCAGTAAAACCAGCTGCAGTACAATATGGGTCCTGGGGTGCTCTGAGCAGCAGGTACAAAGGGGTGTCGCTGTTATGATGTCAGTCTTGATCAGCCCCAGACGTGACCATATTGACTGCAGTGGAATTACAGCTGATTTACAACAGGTGGGGGATCTGATACATTGACTGCAAAGAAGCGTCATCAATTTCTACCAGCCAAGGAGTTTTACTATTTTCCTCTGCCCGGGAACGTAGTCTACCTCCTCAGACACAATTTTATGTCTAGATGAATGCTCAAAAAAAGGGATGAGTCTTTCCTTTTGTTTCCTTGTCCTTCTGGGAGTGTTATTCTGCCGTCAAGTTTGCTTAATGGCTACATCTACACGGCAGGCTTCTTGCACAAGAACAGTTTTGCGTAAGAGTTCATGTGCAAAAGATCCTGAGCAAGAGCGTGTCCACATGGCCGTGTGCTTTTGCGCAAGAGTGTCCATGGAAGCGTGAATGCTCTCTTGCACAAGAAAGCTCTGATGGCCATTTTAGCCATGGGGGGTTCTTGCGCAAGAAACTCCTGTTGCCCGTCCACACTGCCATCTTGTGCAAAACTATCATCTCACACATAGGAGCCATGCTATGGTCCTGCAAATATTTCCACTGAGGGGGGCTGCTCCCAGGAGTAAAGTGTAAGTAGGGAGACCAGCATAGTTAAAGCCCTCCAGAGAGTGAAAAAATGCCGGGCCAACTCCATCTTCGATGGGCAAAAGCTGAAACCCAGGGAGGGCTGCTGACATTTCTGGCACTGACATTCTTCCCGAAATGAGAGAGGTCAATTTCAGTCAATTCTCTCATTCTCAGAGTGACATGGGACATGCATTGGCTTCTCTCAGTGACGGAAAGAAGAGGTCAGATTCTCATCTGGTATCAGTCTCACAGGGATACAGAGCCTTAGTGATTTACACCCGTTGAGGATCTTTTCTCATTCATTGGCTGAAAAGGGTTTGGAAAAGGAAAGATCCTGCCTCGCAAGATGCGATTTCTTTTATACCAGATGTTTTAGTTTTCACAAGGAACTTCACAATAATGGGTATTACTGCTCATTTTTATTTCAACTCTGTTGTTTTCAGGGTGACACATATAAACAGTTTGGATGCCCTTATCGCCTTCAATATGCATGAAATAATAACAAATTACTCAGGTGGAAACTGAGGATGAAAGAATGAAGATATTTAGGCTACGCAGTGAGTCAGCATTCCCAGAAATAGAAGTGGGGTCTCGTGAAACCAGATTTTGTGCCACAACCGTAAGAACAGTCTTTTGGAAATTCAACACACATACACAATCACACACATACACATTCTCTCTCTCTCACACACATACACACACACACACACACACACACGCTCTCAAAGGAATCAAACAGAGAAAATTGAATCAAACCATCAAGGCACTCTCGGGAGTAGCACTGTACAATGGGCCCAGCACAGATCCAAAGGGAAGGGTGATCTCTCAAGAAGGAGCACTGGAGAAGAGGTGGAAATTCTTCTGCCTCTCTTTGGGGAACTTACATTGACATTTCTGAGCACAACCACAAAAGCCGCTTCAGTTCTGGCTGGAAAATGGAAGGTCTGATGGAAATTCCAATATTCCAATACACGTGCGGCGCGGAGTCCTGTGGCACCTTATAGACTTACTGAAGTGTTGGAGCATAAGCTTTCGTGGGCAAAGACCCACTTCGTCAGATGCATGTCTTTGCCCACGAAAGCTGATGCTCCAGCACTTCAGTTAGTCTATAAGGTGTCACAGGACTCCTCACCGCTATTGCAGATTCAGACACACCCGGCTACCCCTCTGATCCAATACACGTGCTCACCCTGAATCGCTAGGGAACTTTGTATTTTCCATGAGGTTTCATATTGACTCTTCTGCAGCAGAATTAAAGTTTTCTCTCTTCCAAAGTGTCCTCAACATCAATGTTTTCTCATGGAAAACATCAGTGCTGAGGAAACATTTATTGAGGTGGGATTTGTTTAATTGATGTGTTGGCTGGCAGTGGGAAAAGCTCTTTATAAATGGAGCAAAATACAGGACGATGTAGCCTGTATTTTGCTTCAGCTACACCAGACTACATTTTTATAAATGGAGACATTTACTCACCGTGCGGAACAGGGTCTGTGCAGGTTCTGGCCCCTAGGGCGTGAGTGATATTTTCACAGCTCTCCAGGGCGTCTGGACACTCCATGGAAAGTCAGGAGAACATGGAAGGAACTAAAGAAACACACATTAGCGGGAGGGAGGGATGAGCTATATTAAACACCTCTTCACGCTGGAGCAACGGGTGCAGGGCATGCTAGAAATGGACTGTGTGAGAAGGGTTCACACTTTGCCCACCCACCCGACTGTGTCCAAACCAAAGAGAGGACCCACATCAAGGAATATCATTTCCCTTTGGATTCAATGAAGGAGGAGGAGGAGGGTTGGGGAGCAGAGGGGAGTAAGGACGAGAGGAGGAGAAACGAGAAACAAACACCCACACCACCACCACCTGCACCACAATAACACGACTAACACAAACCTTAAGTAGACGCAAGACAAGCGGAGGTGCCTGTTTGGGGTTAGCTCTCACTTTGTGGGGCAGTCAGGTAATATGGGGACAGATCTTCATATAGTGTAAATTAGCCTAACGCCCCTGAGATGTAGCTCACAACATGACCCATGATGGTTAATACGGCTGATTTGACAATAATTGATTCAGAGAAAAATAGATCAACTGAGATCTAATAGAGAGACTGTCAGCTGGATTTGAATAGATAGATAGATAGATAGATAGATGGGGTGTATGGGGATAGATAGATAGATAGATAGATAGAGGGGGTGTATGGGGATAGATAGATAGATAGATAGATAGAGGGGGTGTATGGGGATAGATAGATAGATAGATAGATAGAGGGGGTGTATGGGGATAGATAGATAGATAGATAGATAGAGGGGGTGTATGGGGATAGATAGATAGATAGATAGATAGAGGGGGTGTATGGGGATAGATAGATAGATAGATAGATAGAGGGGGTGTATGGGGATAGATAGATAGATAGATAGATAGAGGGGGTGTATGGGGATAGATAGATAGATAGATAGATAGAGGGGGTGTATGGGGATAGATAGATAGATAGATAGATAGAGGGGGTGTATGGGGATAGATAGATAGATAGATAGATAGAGGGGGTGTATGGGGATAGATAGATAGATAGATAGATAGAGGGGGTGTATGGGGATAGATAGATAGATAGATAGATAGAGGGGGTGTATGGGGATAGATAGATAGATAGATAGATAGAGGGGGTGTATGGGGATAGATAGATAGATAGATAGATAGAGGGGGTGTATGGGGATAGATAGATAGATAGATAGATAGAGGGGGTGTATGGGGATAGATAGATAGATAGATAGATAGATTTGAAAAGAACCCATGCATCCAATCTACTCAGACACGCCCTCATGTTCTCAGCTCATCTGTGCAATGGTGACACAGCGAAGTTGTTGACAGGCAGGCCCCTTGGAGGCAAAGCCTCCGCCGTGTGAGCGAAAAGCCAACTTACTCTAGTGCGAGCAGAGCCCCTGGATTACGTACAGAAAAGTGACAGGAAGAAACCAGTAGCCTGGTCTTTCTCCCATCGCACAACACCCGTGGACTGCAGCAGGAGAACGACGGAGGGCTTGGATCACTTACTCGTCGTCTAGCTTGTGTAAGAAGAGACGTTGTGTCTCCTCGCTGAAGGGGCTGTGTGTGTGGAAGGGAGCAGGGGTGGTTTTATTTCATTCACGGGCTTCTGAGACCATGTCCCCGAAGGAAACTTCTTGTCCTATTCCTCGGAGGAAGGGCAGCGCTGCCTGAAACGGCAACAAAACAACCTTCATAGATGCAACAGCGCAACACTGCTGCAGAAACAGGAAACGCCATTCTGGGATGTATTAGCAGGAGTGTGGTGAGCAAGACACGAGAAGTCATTCCTCCGCTCTGCTCTGCGCTGGTTAGGCCTCAGTTGGAGTATGGTGTCCAGTTCTGGGCTCTATATTTCAGGAAAGATGTGGAGAAATTGGAGAAGGCCCAGAGAAGAGCAACAAAGATGATGAAAGGTCTAAAAAACATGACCTATGAAGGAAGGCTGAAGGAATTGGGTTTAGTTTAGAAAAGAGAAGACTGAGGGGGGACATGACAGCAGCTTTCAAGTACCTGAATGTTACAAGGAGGAGGGGAAAAATTGCTTTTCTTGACCTCTGATAAGAGGACAAGAGGCAATGGGCTTAAATTGCCTCCCACCACCACCTGGAGTGAACAGCTGTGTTCTCTCTAACCTTTTCCATCCATGTGTGGAATAAATTTTGTTACATGCACCAAAATATGTGTGGATGTGCACCACCAAAACCACATGTTGTTGGATGTGGACATTTTGCTAATCAGTTGTGACTCTCTCCTGGATTGCTAATTATGTGTTTATCTTTCATTGGTGAGCAGAATAGGGATGAAATCAGAGTCCGGGTGCTCGCATGATGCAGCCACATGCATGATCTGAGGCAGAAACTGAAGTACTCTGGGGACTTTCACAGCAAAAACAGGTTCTGATGAGTTGAACCACCTACAAAATGGGGTGACAGACACGTGGGGGGTTTATTACTCACCCTAGGGCCAAAATTTGGGATTTTGGCTCCTAAATCCCTTTATGGTTTTGGGCCTATGCACCTCTAGAAAAAATGTTGAGAATATTGGTAGCCTGAAATGACCTTTAGGCTGGGGTTCTTGAAGGTGTCTAAACCACTTAGGCCCCATTGAACAGTCCAGCCTAACGATTATCTTCTGAATTTCAGAGATCCTCCCTTAGCCATTGTTCCCTAGGATACAATCTGAAACAACAGTACCTTTGTCCTCATTGACACTTGCTTTATTCAGAGGGACAAATGGACCTCCACCTTCGGGCAGTTGGGTTCCTAACTCCTTTCGTCTCCTCTAAAACCACAGCACAAGAGATTTCATGTATGTGATCAACGATGGGATCTGGGATACTTACTGGAAGTTCACTGACAGTAGGTTAGATGGGTGAGGAGGTCTACGTCATGGGTGGCCAATAATTTTTGCGGGGGAGGGGGCACCTCATGAATTTTGGTTCATGGTTGTGGGCTGGTTCCAGCCCCCAGAAGGGGTGGGGCCTCAGATGGAAGGGGTGGAGCCTCAAGCAGAAGGGGCGGGGCTTCCGGTGGAAGGAGACAGGGAGCACATGAAGGGTCAGTCGAAGTTTGGAGTGTCTCCTCCCCCCATCCCTACCCTGGTCTAAGTCATCGGTGAAATAAAAGTTGGGTCTCCAGAGTACCACTAGAGTCAGTCCCACGTTTTTTTGCTTATCCAATGCCTACATCTGGACTTTTGTGCCTAAATCCTAGTCCACACTGGTCTAACTCCCCTCCCCGCTAGCGTGAAAAGGGTTCCTGTGGATTTAGACAGGAATAAATAGAGGTCTAGATTCTGGACCAGCATCTCATAAGCCTCTGCCCAAGATTTCTGTAGCATCCCTCAAGGAGTTCCAGTTTTCCTTTCAAAGGAGAGGTGCTAAGATACAATGGGCAGCACGTTCAGAATGAACAGAATTTGAGCTCCATTTCTTCTCTGCAGTGCAATGTGATACTTATTGGGGTTAATCGAACAATCACCTCTCTCTGCCCACTATAGACCATTTCCTGGGGTCCCCTTTATCTTTTCTAGTAGGTATAATTATCCCCGTGGTACCTGCCAGGCATCCTATCCCTTTACAATTCATGGTCACGTTCCATTTTGGAGCGTTTTGGATTTGTGGTTTCAAGATCACCTCTTGTGTACCTCATGGGACGGGCGAAGAGTGAGGTTCACACCTCAGCTCTGTCTCTTCTATTTTTCCCCCATCTACTGGTGGGCAGAGGTGACGACACAGTGTCTTTGGAGTTTGCCCACACATATCAGTAGGGCTATAAAAATATCAAAAGTCCAATGGGCAAAGAAGACCCCAAATTCTATCTCAGGAAAATAAATGAGGCTGAATGATGCATTATCTTTAGATCTGTTTCCTCCTCTGTAACAGCCAGTCTCAATTCATGCACCTAACTCCCTTAAGATCATAGAATCATAGACTACTAGGACTGGAAGGGACCTGAGAGGTCATCGAGTCCAGTCCCCTGCCCCCATGGCAACCAAATAATGTCTAGACCATCCCTGATAGACATTTATCTAACCTACTCTTAAATATCTCCAGAGATGGAGATTCCACAACCTCCCTGGGCAATTTATTCCAGTGTTTGACCACCATGACAGGTAGGAACTTTTTCGTAATGTCCAACCTAAACCTCCCTTGCTGCAGTTTAAGCCAATTACTTCTTGTTCTATCCTCAGAGGCAAGGAAGGACAATTTTTCTCCCTCCTCCTTGTGACACCCTTTTAGATACCTGAAAAATGCTATCATGTTCCCTCTCATTCTTCACTTTTCCAAAGTAAACAAGTCCAGTTCTTTCAGTCTTTTTTCATAAGTCATGTTTTCTAGACCTTTAATCATTCTTGTTGCTCTTCTCCGGACCGTCTGCAATTTCTCCACATCTTTCTTGAAATGTGGTGCCCAGAACTGGACACAATACTCCAACTGAGGCCTAATCAGCACGGAGTAGAGCGGAAGAATGACTTCTCGTGTCTTGCTCACAACACACCTGTTAATGCATCCTAGAATCAGGTTTGCTTGTTTTGCAACAGCATCACACTGTTGACTCATATTTAGCTTTTGGTTCACTATCATCCCTAGATCTTAAGCTTAAGATGTAACATCAGTTTTTTTAGAACCAACTAAATTTGACATTTTTCTGAATATAGAAGGAGGGTAAAAATCATGTTGCTAGGTTTATCTGGTTGAGTTATGGATCAGTTAAGAGGCAAGCAAAAATGTGGGTTTACCTAGCACACCTTAGCTCAAACTTTACTCAGCGACATTTCAAAATCAGTCAAAATCCCATGTGTTTGGGTCTCTTGGAGTGCATCTACACTGTACCATACCCTGTACGTTGAGTATCTCATTTCAATGCTATTTTGAAATAGTTTATTTCATCATTTGGCTCTATTTACACAGCACCAAATTTTGAAATAAAGTGCTATTCCAAAATGTCTCTTACTCCTCATAGAATGATGTTTACAGGGATGTTGGAATAGCGAGCCCAAAATAACGGGCTTGCTGTGAAGACGCGGGATAGCTATTTCAGGATACTCCGGTATCTCGAAATAGCGTTGCAGTGTAGACATAGCCTTCATGTGTTGATTTTCAAAATAAATGTTACCTGAACTCCAAAGCTTATATTACCTTAAGAGGAAATAAATCAAGATTGGGTATCCCCATAATGAGCCATCTCCATCTAATATAAAGTCACGTTGAAGCCAACTGGGATACTCCCTAAAATTTTGGCCCTAAATACTATGTTTGCCATTGTGCTTTTATCTTAAAAAAAACTGGTGCCAATTTTGTACCAGCATAGACCAGTTGCATGAACTTAGACTAGCCACACTATCTGGTCCCCACAACTCTTTGACTGATAATTTTATTGAAAACGAAAGAAGCTAGAAATGGTTACATTGCACGAGAACCTTGGATTTTCCCTCGTATTCTTGCCAAAGCTGTTTTCACGTCTTTGTTTTTCAGGCTGTAGATGATGGGGTTCAACATGGGGGTCAAGATGCTGTACTGGATGGAGAAGAATTCATCTAGAACCGGGGAAACGACCGAGCTGGGCTTCATGTACTGGGAAAGGGCCGTCGCGAACAATAACACCACCACCGTGAGGTGGGAGCTGCAAGTGGAGAAGGCCTTCCGTCTTCCCTCTGTGGAGCGTATGCGGAGGATGGTGGAGATGATGTGAATGTAGGAGACCAGGGTGAGGAGGAAGGAGCTGAAACCAAATATCACAGCGGAAGAAAGAAGAGCTATTTTATTGGCGAAGGCTGCCGTGCAAGACAGTTGCAGCAATGGCGGGACCTCACAGCTGAAATGCCTGATTTCATTGGGCCCACAGAAGTGCAATGTTAACACAGGGAGCGTGTTGATCAGTGAATACAAGAGCCCCATTGTCCAAGAAGCACCCAACAGCTGTCGTCTCACTCGTTTGTTCATGGTCCCCGCATAATGCAAGGGGTGACAGATGGCAGCGTATCGGTCGTACGCCATTGCGGAGAGGAGGAAAACTTCAGTACCAGCTGAGAGGAGGATGAAGAACATCTGGGCCAGGCAGCCACGCACAGAAATGGTTTTGTGCTTTGCTAGGAAATTCTCCAGCATCTTAGGGACGATGGCCGAGGAATAGCAGATGTCGACAAAGGCCAAATGGGACAGGAAGAAATACATGGGGGTATGAAGGTGACCATCAGCCCTTATCACCAGCATGATCAGCATGTTCCCCACCAGGGTGACTAGGTAAATAACTAAAAACACCAGGAAGAGGAAAAATTGAAGGCCCGGGTAATAAGAAAGTCCCATCAGTATAAACTCATGCACATTGGTTTGGTTTTCCATTCACATTTAGTGAGCTGCAAGAAGAGAAAAAGTGTTGAAATTAACCAACATAATAACAGGTTATGAAAATTCAGATAGATAGATAGATAGATAGATAGATAGATAGATAGATAGATAGATAGATAGATAGGGATGTATGGGGATAGACAGATAATCAGACAAAAAGAGAGAATGGATGGATGGATGGATGGATGGATGGATGGATGGATGGAGAGGGAGTGGATGGAGATAGACAGATAGGCAGACAAGAAGACAGACAGATAGAAAAAACCCGTGTGAATTTTTGAAAATCCAGTGGACTTGAACAAATTCATATTTCTTGTTCAACATTTTAAATTGGATACAAATAGTGCGTCCTTTTCCATGTGTATTTACACAAACATTTTTATTTTAAAAATGACAACACCTTGTCTATTTATTTCTCCCATTTCTCATGTGAGCCAAAGCAGACAAATCTGTTTTTTTTTTTTGGTGGTGTGGACACACTTCTT